GTATTAAACCACAATAAATATTACGAATTTGCAGATCTTTTTTGGAATACGAAAACTTGATACATGCATATGTAAATCCGCCATGTTTGCAGATCTGCAAAGTTGCCGCCATATTTGCAGATCTGCAAAGTTGCAGACGTTCTGTAATCTCACCCTAAATTATTTTAGGTTATGTTTTTGGGTAGGTAAATATTTCTTGGAAAAATACCGGGTAAATACCCACAATTTATTTACCTACTCACTGGGTATTTACCCAACTCACATCACTAATTCCACTACATAGATTATGCTTAGAATTGAAACTATTTCTAAAATACTTAAGCTTAATTTATACCGTAACGTAACTTAAGTACTTAAAGTAAAAAGTTGAAACATTGAATTTACGTATACTTATTTATAAAGTTAGTAACGTAACTTAAGAACTTAACGTACCGTAGAAAGTTCGCCAACTTTTAACTTAACAACTTAAGACCTTACGGTCAGCCAATGAGATAATTCTCAGTTCAGCATGTGATAACTGTCAATTATTTTTATTAATACCATTTGTAAACTATTATTCTCCTTTTTTATGTACACATTATATCATGAATGATTTGTGTTTATGTTATTGGGAATAAACTATTTATGAGATATGAATATTGCTACATATTAACATCAAATCTAGAACTGAAATAAGATACAAAACTAGTTTGTTAGGAAAGATTTCTCATTATTGCTCAAAAACAGTCAACATCTTGTGTAAACTATTCTGTTTTATTATATTTTTATATTATTGCTTTTAAAGCAGTTAGGGTCTATTTATACTCCCTTATTATTAGTATTTGCATTAGTATTATGATTAAGCATTAAGTTGAACCTTCACAATGTAATGGGGACATTTATACTCGATTTATGATTAGTATTAGCATTAATATTTATGCTTAATAATTGACAGGTTCAACTTTTAAATTAAATATTAAATTTCATCTTTTCTATAAATAATCAATGGCGTATTTGGCCTTTGTTTTTAATAGACAACGGATAAGGATAATTAACAATACACATATGATTATGTTGTTTATATGTTTGTTCCAACAAGCTCGAAAACGATAATATTTCGGTACAAATCATGCTCTGTATACAATTTTTGTGTATCAGCAGTGTTCACCGATTATAAAGTTGACAAATGACATGTCACCACGAGGAAGCAAAGGCCTCTTTTCTGTCTGATTTGTATCAAATTTCTGCTTCTTTTTATTTGTTATAAATTTGAGACTTAAATCCGTTAAATGTCCTTAATTAAACCTATTTTTGAATAATAATATTTTTAAATAAAACTAACTAGTAAAAATATTAATAGAAACACATTTAAAACTCAAATATCTTAAAAGAACACAACCGGCCTCTTACACACTTCTTCAGTAACCATATATTTTGTTGACTGCAGAATTATATCTTATTAGGTATTAGGTTTAAAAAAGAATTACTAATACTAATTATAAAACGAGTATAAATACCTTTTTTGAATGATTTAACAAATTTAATGCTTAATCATAATACTAATACAAATACTAATACTAAGGGAGTATAAATAGACCCTTAATATACTTCTTTATATCAAAATCATAATTTATCGGTTTTATTTGGAGGTTAGGTATATAGTTTAACACTTGTTTATTTCTAAGGTTGTCAATAATTTGATAATCTCTGAAATACAACACGCATGCTCAACTCTTACGTTACGGACATTTATAAATAGACTTTATTTTTATATCTTAGGTTAAGTTTCTACGGCGTTAAGTTAAGTTACGGTTGTTATAAATTATACTTTAGTGTTGCTAATACTTAATCACAATGATAACTTGGAAATATTCAACTCATATTTACTGTCTTTTAAGCGCCACATTAGAAACATACATTTTTAACTACTTTTTCTCTTTCAACCTTTATATTCTTTTGTTTATTTTTACTATTATTATGTATTTAATGCTTATAATTTCTGTTTGATATTAATATATGGTATATACATAAATAAATAAGATTTGTTATTTAGTCAATGACGATAAAATGAGTGTGACTGCAACGGTAAGTCAGCTTCCAAAATGAAAAAACAATATATACAATCAAGAAAGAGAAGGAACAAAATAATTTCTAATTGAAATCTCCTGCAAGAAGCGGATAAGGCAGTAAATTCTCGCGAATATACATATGAGGGTTTTAAAAGCTTATTGAGAGGAATTGTGCATAAAGATTTTTTTAACATTCCGCCAACTTTGAATGCAATTAATAATATTATTCCGTGAATTGAGACTTCACCTCTGTATATTGATGAAAGATATTGATTTTGAATATGTGAAGCATGGTCATAAGAGTGTAATGTTAGAATGAAACGACATAATTCATTGGCAGCACAAGTATTTAAGAGCCATCAAACAATGTCGCCAACAAAATTGTAACGTTATCCATTTAGATGAGACTTGGATCGAACGGTTAACTATGTGTGATAACACCATAAAAAATCGTAGAGATGCTTTAATAAAGGGTTTAACTGCAGGCTTTAAAGCACCTACATAAAGCAGTCCAGGAGGCAGGATATGAAGGTGGATTTTTACCTGGCGCTGCGCGTGTTTTCTTGGTACAGAAAGAGGTTGTCACTACACAAAATTGGCGTAATTGCATTGCAGATGTGAGAAAAACGGAAATGTAGCTTCCTGTTAATAATCCGAGACAACAGTGATGAGCTTATTATAAGAGTAAATTTTGGAGAGAGTTCTGAGTGAGATTTCAGAACTTGACGATGACTTACAATGACTTATCCATTAATGTAAAATTTGTTTATTACCTCAATAATGACTTATCTTTCGCGTAAAATTTGGTTATTTGTAATTTTCAAAATAATTGTTTCTTATTTATTAAACATAGAAATTTTGAGATAAAATTTAAACCCTTGTCAAAATTTGCCTGAGACGGGACCTGTTTTTTTATTGGCATCTCCCAGCATAGCGACGGCCGGCAACGGCGCGCTTCATTAGACTTCACACTGCTTTCTCAGTGTCTCCCACTATAGGTTGAATGGATATGAAATATATTCGTTGAACGCAATGGCATAATTTTTCGTTTTGTAGACTGTAGATATAGCAGGGACAAAAGTTGAAAAGCCTTTTCGCAGTTTTCCTACTTCATACACTTAAATTGACAGTTTTGCGGCGGAGTTAACCAAAGTGGGACACAATACATTGAAGTACAAAATTATTTTATAGATGTTAATAACAATTTCAGGTAAATCGTTTAATAAATTGTGAATAACTGTTGAAATTTTATAGAATTATGATTTGGACATTACAATTGTTTAATAATTATTTCTAATCCATAAATACATGCCTGGTTCCGCCAATAACAATTTAAAATTACTAATTCTATGAAACGTCACTGGCAGATAGCATTACCATGAAATTCTCCAAGTCGTCTGACGTAGTTTGAAGTTTACCCCCTCTCGACCTACCAAAAGCCTTTCAAACGTCTGCCCCTGCTTTAAGCTAATATCCATGTGGGTGTAGAAAAAAGTATTTAAAGCTATGTAACTAAATTATTTTTAAGGTTATTGCAGTGGAATGGTTTTAGATGAATACAATATTGAAAATAATTTAAATAAAATTTAAATTGACTCTTAACCTATATTTTTATTTTTGGATGAATAAAAGATTATTTAAATGTTATCTACTTACTATAGGAATACATTTTAAGACTTAAAATCACTTAAAATGAAATAATAGTACAAAAACGTTGGCCTATTTTTTATATCATCACTAATGCATGGCATTGTTTATTTATCTTAAGAATATCATTATTCAACTACCCTCCAATTAATTCCAATGAAAAATAGGCACTGAAATTATATTATAATAACAAGTATACTCAATGCCTTGATGGCTCCCTTACTAGTCACTAAATTAATTTCTGTGACTATACCAGTTGGTTTAATCAATGGGTTTGCAAAATTATTCGAGAGAACTTAAGAAAAAACTATGTGAACTATTTGATAAGTAAATCATAAAAAATTGCAGACAATCAATATAGTATAATGTATGGCATGATTTGTAACCAGGAATTGGACATGAATGGTCTCCAACTATAATAATTGTAGCAATTAGAATTTCACACCTGTCACATTGCCATACATCCATTCTTCTTTTGACATGTTTTTATTTTCAATTTTTGAGGGCAAGGAAGATATGTGTTTCACAAAAAAATAAGTCAAAATAATCCAAAATTAAAGGGGGCGTCCATTAATTACGTGAGGTATTTTTGAGGATTTTTTGACTCCCCCTCCCCCCCTGGCGAGATTTGGTAAGATTTTCCTTAACTCCCTCCCCCTCTTCCCTAATCTCACATGAGATTTTTCAAAATTCATGTTTTGGGTGTAAATGTGTTGGATTATTAAAAAAAAAACAAAAACACAATATGTTCCATTACTTTTATTTAAGACTAGCAAAGACTAGTGTTGCAATTATTTAAAATCACACTTCCCAACCTTCAATGACGTTAGTAATGACAACATTACATATATGGTTGTAAATAAACATAATTATAAGATTTTTCCATATTTTATTCTAGAATTACTTTTACTATAATGTAACTTTACTTCCACGCAATTTTACACCATTTTCTACTAGAAAAAAAATTACGTGAGAAACCCCCCCCCCCCAAGTGAGATTTAGTTTTATCCCCTCCCCCTCTTGAACACCTCATGTAATTAATGGACGCCCCCTAAGGATATTTTTTTTTTCTAAAAATTTTCCTTGTCCTCGAAATGTTTTACAGCAACTCTGATGACTCAATTTTCTTTTTCCTAGATTTAATATCACTATATAACCCTGGCAACTATGTAACTATTCTGATTGTTGGCGCAGCTCCTGCAGACAAGCGCATTAGTAGGACAAGACTACAAAATTACCCAATGCTTTTAATAACTATACGATTTTATAGAATACCTTGAGTATTGATGTTTTTTGTAATCTTACCTAAAACGTCTTGACCTCTGTTGGTTCATCTTAGCTCTAGGTGCTACCCCATCTATAGCCATATATAGAAGTTTCCTTGGTCTTACAATTGTGAATAGCCTATCTATGCACTCAAAGATAGCAATCATCATTTCGTCTTCATTTTTAGGAGCTGGTTTGTTTTCTGGATGGGTACATGGATGAATTATACCATTCATATCCAGATACAAATTATCAAATTCACAGCCATTTGGATTCGGCTCTGATGAATTTATTGGTATGCTTACTCCATTAACATCTACTGGCTAAAATTACAAACAAAAAAAGATACAATACTGGTGAATAAAATCGTGTAACCTTACTTTTTGTTCCACACAATTCACAATAACAGATGGATATTTTCTACTCAACCATCGAAAGAATGCTGGGACACCCATTGTTGAACAAAAAATAAAATGTTAAAATATTTTATTTTTGATCAAACAATTCGGCATTATTTGATTTAAATCAAGTGACGATAGTTATAGTTTACAGTTTCGAGTTTACAGCTATTTTAGGACTGTCAACTGTCAGCTATCAGTCTGTCGTCTGTCACTAGTCAGTTTATTTTTTTTTTTTTTGGCTGAGTTCGGTTTGTGGTGAGTTCGGTCTACGCACTCTTTTCACTATATTCACTCCTAAAGGACCTAAGGCGTTCGGGTACGGAAGGAGTTAAAATAAAAGTTCCTCTTTGACCGTTCGGAGATGGTGGAGTGGAGTGTGGATCGGGCATGCGCATAAGGTGATTTAAATCGATAATAAGTTAATTGTGACTGATTCTTTAGTAAATAAGTTTTTTTTTTGATTCCCGTGAATATAATTAATATGGAAGAAACTTATACGGTCGTTACAGATAAGTACGATTAAATTTTAAGTACTGGTATGTAACATTGACAACTGACATTGCACTCCGAGAGTTAAAGGAGTTAAATCATATTCGCACTCCGTTTACGCCTAATTACTCCACTCCACTCTGGAGTGCGCAGCCCGAACTCACCTTTGGCGTCCGCTGTACTCATGCACTGTACTCAGAGTGAACTCGGTATGCCTCAATTGTGGTCGTTTTGGCACTCAGCGTACTCTTTTGTGTTCGGCTTGCCACAGATCACGCACTCAGAGCGCGCTCACTCTTTCCCGAGTTGGCCGGTGGAGATCAGTGAACTGGAGTGGGGTAGAATGCTTGTCAATTGGCTTGAGATGCGACCCCAGTATATATATATATATATATATATATATATATATATATATATATATATATATATATATATATATATATATATATATATATATATATATATATATATATATATATGCGACTCTAAGGGCGAAGCCAGGTTATTTTTCATCTCACTCGGAAGTATTTATAACAACCATTTTCTATTTCACTTTGTTATTGTCTGATCCACCAGCTTGTGGATTGAACAATAACAATGTGAAACAGAAAATGATTATTATAAATACTCCCGAGTGAGATGAGAAATAAAAATGGCTGCGCCCATAGAGTCGCATCTTGTTTTATGATACAATATGCACATTGGCTTTCTACCCTACTCCAGTTCATTGGTCGGAACGTGTTTCCGGAACGCGCTCTGGGGTGCTATTTTCAAAGTCGAGAGAATTCATTTCTCTCGAGAGAAATGTCATACGTCAACGTAAAACATTATTTTTAGGGTCCTAAGGGCCAGTGTAAACTCACTGATTGTTTCTCACGGTTTATTTAGAGATAATTAATATCCTCCTAAGAATTTTAATCCTCGAGGCCTTTAAAAACAGCGTTTCCACATTGACGTATGACATTTCTGATGAGAATCTTGAGAGAAATGAGTACTCACTAGACATGGGTAACGCAGCGCTGCGTTGCGTTATTGCGTTAACGCAGTTGTATGCGTTACGAGCGTTGATACCATACGCGTTGTTACCATAGATAAATTAATATTAAAAGATAAACCGTTTAAAAGCACGGCACTGGTAACAAGTGGTAGTTTCCAGCCATACTACTTGGAGCCACCGTCGCACGCTACACATTTGGCTGATTAACTTATCAGTTAGAGCAACATAAAAGAAGAAAATTAAAAAGAAGAATGTCAAGCCTAAACGCGGCCACGGTGTACTATAAGGTGTATCAACTCCTATTTAAAAACAAATGAAAACGGCGATAAAACCGATCGTACTTCCTAGCCAAAATCCGCTAGGTTCGCTAGTATCTATCCGGCGAGAAAGTAAATAAAAGATGAAGGTTGGTAGGAGCTGCAATTTGAAAAGTGTTGACAGATAAATATTTTTAAAAATCTTAAAATATATAAATCATGGTGGATCGTTGAGCTGTTTTTAATTGTGATTGTGGGAGAGTCTTCAACATATTGATAGCAGTTTTATAATGCCAAAAAACAGTTATACAGAATATGGTGCAATTATTTAGGTGGTATGGAAATAAACATTAAACCCAAAAGTTCCATATGTGAAAAACATTTTAATGCAAATTATGTTATCCGTGAAAAAGTGCTAAGAAATCTACTAGGAAACGTTATTTTTCAAGTAAATATGTTTAATGTCTACGTTTTAAATGATTGTAGGTTATGTAAATAGGTTATTCAACTTTGTCTTTTCTGTAATAAAAATAATTATTAGTATAAAGTTTTACTATATAAATATTTCGTATTATTTATCCTGTCTCCTTGGTACTAATAATGTTATGACTTGGACCCTATTATAATGTGTTCATGATATAAATTTCATATACACAAGGTACCTATTTCTTTTGATATTTTTCTGACCCTGCGAATAAATAAAATCTTTGACTTATTCCTTTTAGCCTGATTATAATGCTAGAAAGTTGTATCTGGTTATAAGAATCAAATAGATACTATGATAAATTTATTTTACTTGTAGCCTTTTTATTTTTAAGTGTTCAAATATACATTTGTTTAATAATAATCATCCCCAAATGTGTTTTGTTCCAGTTCTTTAAATGTATTTACTAGGTTTTTATAGAAGTACTGATTTTAAATTAATAAAAATTTGAGCTGTAAGAAATATTTAAGATTTTTCAATTCTGTATTTTTCGTATTTTTATAGGAGTTAATAATCCCTTTAAGTAAATAAATGTAGTTCGGGGTCGTAGATGTTGGTAATTTGTGTATTGAATAATTTGTACATACACTGGTTAATAATTTAAACAATGTTTTTTCTGATGTACCTAATAATTATTTAAGGTTATCTTGTAGTTGAGGAGTCTAGAAATCCGCATATTCACGCCACTCTGAAGTCTAGAATTTGACACAAATTTGAAGTTAAAAATACTTAACGATCGTATTACTTCAAAATCTACAGATTTTTTTAATTTTTAATCGATGTAAAAATTGGTAAATACATGATAAAAAGTAAAAGTTATTTCAAATAATTAAATATAACTTTGCAACTATATGTTACGATTCCAACTATCAGAACTAGCCGGAACAAGAATGGTGCATTTCCAGACCCTTCAATTATAAGATTACCATTATTTAATGTGCAGCGCAAATATAAAAAAAACTACCTAACAAATGCTGTTCCTGCTTTTATTACTTATGATGGGACTACTTCTCAAAGGAGACAAGAATGTGGAAAGTATTGCTGATAGTTACCGAAGTTATCCACTGGGGGTGAAGTGTTAATCTTTTAGGAATATAGGAAATATTTCTTTATATCTAACAACTTAATATTTATTTATTGATAAGTTATAGATACTATGTATTTGAAATTCGAAGTAATCATTATGACAGCAGTGTTCTTCTTATTGTATTCGAATTCTAACACAAATAAAACATCTCATTAAATTTTTGTTAAAATTATTAATTTATTAATTTTACATTAGAAAGAAAATTAACAATACACACAAAATTATTTAAAATTAGAAATAAATACAATTTACACATTTCCCATTATTACACTTTTACTTACTTAATTTATTCATTTCTTATATTAACAATTTAAATTAATAATATAGTTCATTATTTCATTGGAACTCATTTTATAATTTTACTAATTATTTTTTTATATTTATTTGTGGAAAATTAAATATTAAATAAAAGCATAGGAATTGTTCTATTAGATAATAGCAGTAATGAAAAAATAAGTAGGAAAATTTCAAATGTATAGTTTCCAGATTTATTATGAGTTTTTCATATTAATGTACTCAATAAGTAGGTTTATTATGTTCGCTTGTACACATCACAATTAGCAGCAGACAGTAACAAACCTGACAACACTTCCGATTTCAGAAAAAAACATTACAACAATTTGTTTTACATTATATATTTCAATAATGTAATATAATAATCATTTATATTTAATTAATGACAAGATTTACTTTTTAAATAAAACTATATGAGCCCTGTCCCGTTTCAATTAGCACACTTCTCAAATTTATAGTGACTGTCACTACAAGAACAAATCATACATAAATCTGATAAATTACTTTTATTTTTTTAACCCTTTCACTTCCACTTTCATTAAAAAAATACCATTGTAGTAGATTGTATGTTTTCTTTGTTTATTTTAAGTAAATTAAAATTTTTTCATAGTATTTTTTATTACTCCAAGACATAACGTCCCTGTTCAGGGACATTACAAAAACAAAAATTTACTATGAAAATAATTTTTTTATAATATTAATCCTTAAAAGTAATGCAAATAAAAGTAAATAAACCAAAAAGAAAAAACTTCTACCAAAATTAACAGATGTATACTTCAGGGTTAATTAAGACAGTGTCCCTCTAGAGGAACAAATACACTGAAAGGGTTAAATATTTACAAATTTTCATGAGTGTTTCATCACCTTTACCTTTGATAACGGCAATAATTCATTAAAACATTGTATTTACAAGTTCTTGAAAATCTTATGTGCAGGGAACCTACTCCATATTTCTAGATTACCCATTTGCTTTAATTCTGGCAGTGATCTTGTGGGTGCTGCACGCCTCTGCTTAAAAATTATCACCCCATATAAAAAAAGCATCTTTATTAAATGAACAAGAAACTAAAAAAAAAAAATAAGCATTATTAAAAACTACAAAAAGTGCATAATTTGAAAATCCATATTCAAGCTTGAGATTTGTAAAATTAAAAAAATTCCAAATACACATTTAACTTGTTCAATTATGTATTGAATAAAAGGTCTGTTCCAACAATGATCAGAAACAAACCACTGGGTAGTACACAATTTTGCAGTATCGATAAACTACTGTGCAGAATCCTGATGTCAGCAACTCATTTCTGAGCATTGTTGGAACAAACCTAAAGTAAATCGAAACCACTTAAAAACAAGCACAACATTTATACTCGAGCATAATTTTTAATTCCTATCAAAATTTTTAATTACTGAATATTTTGTTCTAGTTATATTAAAATTTAAAAGTTCTTACTCTTCATTATAATTATATTTTTTATTTTCCCTATATACCTACATACTATCTCTAACATTTTACAAATTTGATGCCTAATTAAAGATGTCATCTAGCATTGCAGCATTTTTTAGAATATTTGAGAGAGCATA